GAGATTGAGAGTACAGCTGATTCAATTAAGGTTGCCTTCGAAAACCTTAAACCTTAAACTCTGAGCGCGCAAGGGATGATGGGTTTTAGACCCTTAAATTCAGAAAATTGCCTTTGCAACAAGTATGTTTTCTGTTGTGAGTCTTCTATAAGTTCTTAGGTATTCTTGCAAAGCGAAATTTCAAAGTGTATGAGTCAAAATAAGCAATAACCCATCATCCCTTGCGTGCTCAGAGTTTAAATTAAGGTTTAAGCTTTTGGAAGGACAACCTCAATTGAATTAGCTGTATGCTAATTCCGCACTGCTATTTACACACTTGAGAAAAGGTGGGGGTAGTAGGAACATCGCTGTCGCAGCCACTTATATAATTTTCGCTCAAAATTTGCATCTGAAGGCGCCCTGCACTTACTAAAGTTCTTCAAAACGACAATTAAATACGTCATTATTTTGCAGTTTGAACATGTGTATTTGACAACAGGTGATACACGAGTGTCTTCTAAAATAGTCAGTTTAAATCGAATGCATACGCGTCCATACATGACAAGTCTTCAATATGCCAAAAAGTGATATTTTTAGCGTCGTATTTTTGTGCGTTGTAAATATAATCTTTATGGTTGCAGGAATATTCCTAAATTCTGTGGTTATAATCAGTCTATGGAGGTCGTCGCAACTTCGAAAGAAACTATGCTACTTTATGATTCTTGTATTATCTTGTTTTGATCTGGCCGTAGTCACGATCACTCATCCACTCTTCATCGTATCTACCATATATTTTTCCCAAGGGGAAATTGATGAAATACGCGAGGCCACAAGGAAATCCATATGTTTCGCTGTTTGTGGTTCCTCGTTATTTGCGCTTTTTACGCTGAATGTTGAACGATTCCTAGACCTGACGCGTCCATTTTTCCATCATGCGTCAGTCACAAAAACAAGACTTCTACGTTTTCAGGCATTTTGGATGATTACAACAGTCGGTCTATCGCCATTGGTATATTTTAATTTGGAAAGAATTGGCTATATTTATGGAACTGCGACTGCTTTATCCCTCCTATTCTTGTTCATTTATTCAAATTACAAAATTTTTATAATCGCGAAGTCAAAACGCGAGGATGAAAGGGTTGCTCCGACTACAGCGATGGATGAAAATAGGAAAACACGAATCTTGAATCTCAAACATATTTCTACGTGTTCTTTGGCAGTTGGCTGTTTTTTCTGTTGTTTCTGCCCGTACATTATATACGCAGCTTTACGTTTAGCCGCACCGTTGTCTGAGAGGCAATTTTTGTTATTTGGTCTCTGGTCAAACACGTTTATCTCTTTGAACTCGACATTTAACTGTGTCATATTTTTCGGGAGAAACTCAATTCTGCGTCGAGAAGGAATGAATACATTAAACGCTTTCCGAGGACACGTTACTAAGTGAATTTATATTAACAATCTCTCCGGGTATATTATAGAAAATTCGTTCTATATTAATTTTTTGGTTATAGATTCATGTCTCGCTATTTATAATGCTAACCCTAATCCCCACCCTAACCCTAACCGCTAACCCTATTAGCGAGACATGAATCTATATCCAATTTTTTTGAAGACAAAAACCGCTTCATTAGATTGCATGACTGCACTTGCATGCAGAACATGTTGTTATGTCTAGAGCTGTCTCGGAATGAAATTCCTAGAATGAAATTAAAAGGTATAAACACACGCGGGCGCGTTATATCGCTATAGTTTTGCCTCTGTCAAAAACGACCGAAATAATTTCCAACTTTTCTTATCTATTTGATCGTTCTCAGAAAAAAAACACAGCTGTCAACATTGGTTGGTTAATTTTCCCATGGGTTTATTACAGGAAAGTAATTATACTTGTTGTACAACAACAGATGATCTAACAAAAACACAAAAGATGTCCGCCTCTTTTCTCGATGTTGCCAATGTAGCTTGGCTAGAAAACATTTTATACTCGGGTTTAAATATTTTAGGTTAAAATTTTTGAAATAGATTAGGGTTAGGTGAATGATTAAGTTTAAGATTCACTGTTATGTTAAGTTTTTGCGATAAAAAAATAAGAATTAGCTGTATAAGAGAGCACTCACAGACTATATGCCACCTGCACCAGTGAGTTAAGTCAATCAAGCATAAACTATACAATCGACAGACGGACTAATTAACTAGAGAGCACTGAGAGACTGCGTCAACACATGCATAAATTATATACAATGGACAGATTAGACTGCGAGCAATCCCTCTATTTTCCTTCGTTTTATTGTTTCCCGGACTAAACTCGATTGAGCGCCGCCCCCGATTAAGCGCCGCCCTCCGAATGAGCGCCGCACTAAACAGTGTAATAATTTTCCGCCGTCAAAATGGGGACATTTTGTGACAAAGACATTTCTAAAACTTGTTCATTTTATTGTTAAAAGTTCTTGATATAATTCACAAATAAAAGATTTTTTTAAAGAGCGCCGCCCCCGATTTAACGCCGCCCTCGAATGAGCGCCGCATCTGAAGCTCTGAAAATTTAAAGAGCGCCGCGGCGCTCAAACGAGTACTAGAGAGTCTAGTTTAAGATCTACGACGCGGCCGGCTCAACGACGCGCTTGCGAAAGACAAACTTCGCAAGGCTATATTATCCGCATTTTACAACATTTCGCAACGAAACTTCGGAATATTACTAATTTTGTGATGCTCTTTCTAGCTGTGATGAAATTTTTGTCCAGGCATATCTAGATCAAAATTTCACTCATAAGGGGAAAGGTCTGTTGCATGTACAGCAGCCTCATATCCACTTGCTTGGTCAGCGCAGCGGAGTTATAGATTTCCAGCACTGCTCATAATCTCGGGCTTAATGACTGATAGTATATGGCTTTCCCAACAATTCTCCTCAGCACCTCCCCAACACCCGCAATGGGTATGACACCAGGATTCTTATCTAATGGCATCAGGCGACACGCTGTGTAAGCTTCTAGATTAGTGTAGCTTCTCCCATTTTCAACTTTAACTTCGGTTTCGACGGTACTAACTTTTCCTGCAAACACACTAAGTGCACATCTAAGATCTTTGCCAACCAGTTTCTAAAGTTCTTTGGCACCAAAATGCTTCTCCATCCATCTGCGTCCAAACCGGACGGCCCACTTGATCACCCTCTTGTGCGCAAAGTTGATTTCATAATAGTAGTCGACTCTGTTATATTTTGAAACATAACAGGATCCACAAGAGGTAATGGGCCATCCATGAGAATTGAAGGGTCAGCATCATTCGCATTTGGATGTTTTCCTTTCAATTCATTTATTGTGCTTTGGGATAATGTAACTACACCACTACTATCATGTTGATCCAAAAGCTTTATTGCTGCATTTATCTTTCCTTCAAACGTAAGTTTGGAGAAGGTTTTGGCTAAACGTTCATCGTTCAAAGGCTTTGAATTAGTTGGCAATTTTCGGCCTTGAATTGTACGAGTTTCACACAGCAGGCGGCATCAAAGTCACCAGCTTCCCATTGCTTCAAGTGCCTTGTTAGGCACTGCGAGTGTTCCTTAGATATTGACTTAAACGTTGGCTTCTGGAGAAGTAAAGCTGGCATTACCATAAGAACTTTTAAGGCAATGTCTTTGAAATCGACGGCATCATGGTTCCAATATTCAATCCATTTGGTTGTTTCAATGACAAATTTCTTTCCGACAGCTCCACTTGGTAACATGAACAAGTTCCTTCTCCAAAATACAATTTCGTCATAAATTGCATCTATTGTTCGTATGGAGTGAATATCTTGTTTTGTACGAGTTCCTCATACTTTAGGACTATAGGAGATGACGCGTTGGTTGCATCTCAGCATCAGTATTACTGTAACATTCACATATACTTGGTCGCGAATCTGCTGAGCTGGTTGTGATTCAGGGATTGGCCGTTTTCCACAGGTACCCAAGTGAATGTTTTTTTCCATGATTGGTGGAAAAATTTTGTAAGCACAAGTTACATTGAGAAGCAGATGTTTGTATAAAATATGCCCTTGTTCGTATTGCCCTTGCTGCATCTTTCACTTGCCGATAATAGGTCGGTTCCCATTTACAACAGTGGCGTAACGTTATATCAGGGGGCCCCCGGTTCAAAATTTTCGAAGGCCCCCCTAGTAGAAGTGCCAAAGGCACAAATCGAGCGCCGTATATGCACGAGTTTCTAGGGGTCTAGGGCATGCTCACCCGGATTTTTGAATCTAGACTCTCTGAAATGCCAGTTCCCGGACTTTGGGGAGAGATTTTAAAGAATTCTGATGGTCAGAAAACGGCATTGTTGCTCTATAGGCTATAGCCTGAGCTTGGGGGGCCCCATTAGGGTTGGGGGCCCCCGGGTTCTCCCGGTCCGAGCCCATAGTAGTTACGCCACTGATTTACAAATTAGTAAATAGGTTCCCATTTACAAATTAGTACTGATTTCCCGCTTGTTTTGGATTTCCCAGTACCGGCACTGGATGACGGATAATCATGCGGCTCATATGACTGACAGGCCCTAACCTGAAGTGCCTGAACTTCAGGTTAGACAGGCCCTTATTTATCACACTTCAATCTGTCTTAAAAAATGCGCTTATAAAATAAACGAGCTCTAGTTCTGTATATTAGGTTTTTAATCGGCTTTTTCATCTAAGATTGGTTTACGCTATCCGAAAGTTTCTGTGATCGGAATGTTGGCGATGGGAGGGGGTGGGGGTGGGAGGGAGTTGGGAGGGATTATGGACGGGAGAAAATTTTCCCGATCATACCACAATGCCACCAGTACAACGAATGTTTATGACAAAACATTTTTTAAATGAACATCGAAATTTGCTCATAAAAAGGGCACCTTCGATCTTAATAAAGTTTACAGCAATATTAGCTTGTACAAAAAGGGCACTTTTAATCACAAAAATGGGCACTTTGAACAATGTTTTTTTTTTGGGGGGGGGGGCGGCGGGGGTGCACATGCTCCCCGTTCCTACGCCCCTAACAGCAGGAATTTTGTATCGGTAAATTCTAAGTTGAGGGATTTGTAAGAAATGTTTGAGGTAATTGACAAACATTTTTTACAAATCCTTAAAACTTAGAATTTAAAACTTCGATCCGTGACTGTATATGTGATCATAGCAACATGAGCTCCACCTTTGAATTTACTATATGAGTAAATTCTTAAACAACACGTCCGAATTTATCATTATGATAAATTCGCGGCACATTTTGAATTTATCAATAGAGTTAATCATAAAGCCACAAGCATTACACAAGATTTCTTGTTATAAATGTAATGGCACTTCAAGTTTTTTAAAAAAATAGTTTTTAAAAAAGTTTAGTAAAAAGTTTTAAAAGAGTTTTGAAAAGCAAGAAAAGTTTAAAAAGTTAGATTTTTAAAAAAGTTAAAAAAATTTAAAAAGTTAAAAAAATTAGGGTTAGGGGTTAGTGGTTAGGGGTTAGGGGTTAGGGTTGGGGTTAGTGTTAGGTGCCGCGAATTTATTATTATGATAAATTCAAAAAGTGCCGCGAATTTATCATAATGATAAATTCGGACGTGTTTAAGAATTTACTCATATAGTAAATTCAAAGGTCGAGCTCATGCTGAATCGTAGAAACTTTGATGTAAACCACAACAAGGAGAGTCTCCCAGGGGCCATGTTCCAGTTTTTGGCTTTGTTCCGTGTGATGTGTTCATTGGCTGCTGAATCCACAAGTGCATAAAAGCTTGACATAAGTAAATTTTATGCATAAAGAAACTTTTTAAGAAGCTGCTTTAAATTCCCAAGAGCAGAAAATCGTGCGCTTTACAAAGATATTTTAATTCACATATTATTAGCACTGATGAAGATCCGGGCTTACGGATCGAAAGCTTTGCAGTCAATAAATTTACGTGGTGTTTCCACAAGCAAAACTATTATATGTTTTATCGCCATGCAAACATACAAAGAACTTATATTTTAACTCTTAATAAGTCAATATTTATAATATATGCATCACGTCAATATATTTTACGCATCTTGCGTTCACGGCTTATAGTGCTAAGGCATTCAAAGTTTAACGATACGTTATTTCAATGGTTTTGCGTTTTTTGCGACACCCTGTTTGCCTAGCTTTCCTTAGCCTTTACTGCCACGTGACACGCGCTAATAATAGTTTAATTGATTTACTTACAGTAATTAGTGATCATTAATCACAGCTAATGCTTGGGATAACATAGTGTCCATTGTATTTCCATTGTTTTGAAAATCCTACTGTTCCCTATGTCATCGCCTCACTCATTGTTTTTATTTATTGTGTCATAGTAATTGTTGACATTGTTTGTTGTTAATTTCTTTGGCAATTTCATCGTTCATTTCACATAATTTAATTTTTGTTCGTGCGAATTAATTCTTCACGCTCAGAGTCTGCCCAGACTGAATTGCACGGGTACTAATTTCCGCGAAATTGCATGTGATTTTCCTGGAATTTACAATGCAAACTCAACGTATATAACTATGTTTATCTCACAAACACTCGTCAAAGAGAAATATGTGCATGGCCCCCGCATTCTACTCTGCTGACAACCTATTTAACATAACATACTATTCAGGGATGAAATTGAAAGAAATGGAAAGAAAACTGTTGGTAGCGTGAACCGTGGACCATGCTCGCAACTTTTTAGAAATATTTACGCTTGTCAATTTCACGAAATTTGTACATTTCACATGTCAATTTCAATGATTAGCCTGAAACCGGAACAAGCCGGAATGCTTCGGCGAGTTCCGTCTTCGCCCACGTGATGCATGCGGACCAATCGCGTGCGTTTTTGTTCTTAACTCGATCCGAAGAATCGCTGCCATTTTCCTTGTTCGTGTGAAACGTTTTTAAAAAGTTTGGATTATTTCACAATTCTCTGGCAATTTTTTTGGCTTTTTCCCGCTTCGTGGAAAGCAACGTCATGCGTCTAGCATGACTTCTGGTAGTTTATCTTCAAATGCCGTGGATTTAAGAGAATGTAGCTCAAATCTCTTCGCTTTGGTATGTAATTTTTCAATACATATGTCGCTATGTTATGTTCGATTTGATAACATACACACATGTTTACAATATATTCACGTACGATCAATTCCTATTAGAAATACCACATCCGACCTAAGTGTCTTTACTGTAAATACCAACAATTGCATGATCAGAATGTATTTATAATCCATTAAATATCACCTAGTTTATCTCAATTTCAGTATTTTTAATACAGTATACATGTATTACGATGGTTCATTGACTTCGAGACTTTTATGCTTGATTCCTACCCCTTATCGCTGTCCGATTACCGAAAAATTTATACTATAATTAGAAGGGTTATTATTCTTTTTAATAGCTAAAAGTCCTGTGCTGTAATTCCACAAATACAGGTCACACAAACGACACAAAGTCATGAACCTCTATGACCGGGGTAAACAATGCAAAACCGTCAGACACTTTTTATTATTTCACCAACTTTCCATGATAACTTCCTTAGAATATAAACGGTTTCAAGCAGCGATTGACACCCAATTTCATACCACCTAAGCATGTCCACGTTATTGTAATCCATAAGGAAATAAATAACGTGAGAACCTAGTCGATCATGGCACGATTTTTATGTAGTAAATAAGTTCCTACGAATATTAATTCGAATTTGTCTAGCCATTTCAGCAATTTAAGTACTTTTCATGTATACTTAGCGATCAAAGACAATTTGTACTTTTTTTCGTGGGAAATATACACATCAAGAATTGGGGGTTTTAATTTTATTTATGGTCATATTTGTTTAGTGTATACTATACACATGGAATATGTGCCAAAATCTGTAATAATTGCACTCGGCTGATATGTTTATCGACCTTTCCGATATTCGGGTATTAATGTAATTTCGCCTGTCATAAGCAGGCTTTTTGAGCTCACTAATTCTTTCATAAACAGGCTATAATTCTGACTGGTAAATCAGACAGATGACGGTTTAAATCATTACGATTGTTTGGTAAAAACAAGTTTATTGCTACATGTTTAAGAGGGCGCAAGAGTCGAGTTGGTAACTCGAAATATCACCCGGAATCAATGACAGCCTGCTATTATGCGTGTTAATTAACGGCGGGCGAAGAGCGAAATTACTATTGTAAAAATAACATAATCTAGTGGTTTAGTTTTATAGAAAGTTTGCTGGAAACAACGACCGTTTGCCAAGCTTGTTTTTCGTTGTTTTCAAATCACAAAGTAAACATATTTATTGTGCTTTGAAGTTGTCGCGAAACGCTGTGCAGATATCACTCAACATAAATTGTGCTATCTTTTTTGGCCGCCATGTGCCATTTAAATTTGTACAAGCTGATTTTAAACGCTCTTCGGGAGGTTAAAAACTCCAAACCCCATGCAACACGTTATTTAAAGTAGTTTATTTTGAGTTTGTTTTATAATAAATTGGATAAGTGTTTTTATTAGGAAGTATAAAGTGTTGCAGACCTCACCAGCCGAGGTGTATATTCGCTCTGTCTTTCTCGCTGAAATTTAGCTGTGCTACGTTGGAAATTATTTTAACTCTTTGCAGCAAAGTTCTAAATATCAGTGCGTTAAATTTATAGTCAAATTAATGTATATTTAGCCAGATAATTTTAGAAACAAAACTCTAAAGTTTGGCTTCCTGAGACTTAACTTAACATGATGGCTTTTGTCGGATAGCATTGTAGAAACTTTTTGTTGAAAGACAATGGTCTTACTCTATAGAAAACAGTGTTTTTCCATTGTGGAAAGTTAGTTTTCATAAATGTTTACAAGTGTAAACAACACAAAAATATTATGCTATAATATACTTACTAATACTAATATTTCAATAAAATATATTGAAGCAAATCATATTATAAAACCTACTCAAATTCAAGAGGATATATTCTGGTGTCTTCCTCGACAAACGGTTTTTTCTAAGTGGTAAATATTTTTCATTTCCCTGTTGACCTATTGCCATATATACCCCTGTAAAGTGAACAGCATTTTATAAGCACTTTATGTGCACAGATTATCTAGCTAAAGTATGCATTTTACTGATAACAGAAATGCCCCATGACATTTAATAGTTATTAAGATACTTTTCATGATCCGTGTTACAATTATTAGCAAATTCTTGTCATACATTTATGTTTACTACATTATTAACTTATTGAGTTACATGCACCATACTCTATTCTTTTAATCTGTCTAATGTCAGACAATTTTACTTGTCAAGGGGAGAGTGCACCAGCTCAATGGGTTAACATGGATCCAGGGCGCGAAATAACGGCTGGAGGGTTGCCGGTCAAGGTGACCGGCCAACTCAATTTTAGCTTGGACATACCAAAATATTCCCCTAAAAATGCAAATATTTTCACAGTATAGCATTACAAAAAGCCCTACTGTAATCAGTAGTTAAAAACGTAAAACAGCTTGCACTGTGCTAAAAGCTGTCGCTTTAACTCTTAAACCAAAAGCATGGCCATGGGCTTTGTGACGTACTGCGTGGGAAAGCTGGTGTACATTGAAGTTCTTTTCTCGCAAAATATTCGAGAACATGTTATGGTTCTTTAAAATACTTGACATCTTTATTTTGATTATTAATTCAAATGAAGATTAGTTTGTTCTTTTACCGAAAGTAACCGGTAAAAATGACCGGCAGGGTAAGAATTTGACCGGACAACTCTGCATTCTGGCCGGACATTGTCTGTTGACCGGCCGTTATTTCGCACCCTGGGATCCATCCTTGAAAGTAGAATTGTCTGTAGCAGAATTGAATGAGTACAATAATTTGGTTCGGAGGCTGTTTTGTGTGGGCCAATAGTGTTTTTACTTCTTGTTTAGTAATTAGTTAACCCACTAATATAATGCACAAGAATTTCCTATCAATGAGTAAAATCGTATGGCATTAGACAGAGTAAAATTATATTGAAGTCTGGTGCATTTGTGTGCATTGCAGATAAACAATAGCATTTTTATACTGCCTTTTGCAACATAACTTCAATGTGGACAAAATCCACATTGTGAAATCATTACTGTACAACATAAGTATCACACAAATAAATTTACAAAACATTGTTTCAATGCCATGAAATATAAACCCATAAAAAAGAACAGGCAATTGTTTAATAGAGTTTGAAACAAGAGCACTGTATTGTGAAATTTGCAGTATCCCGATATCCAAGGGATACCAGATTTTAAGTTTGGATACTGGACATCACAAGCTCAGTTTACAAGTTAAACAAGTTTCTGTCCTCCCCACAGATAGTGTATTATTGTACAGTACAGTATACGAATCCTTTATAATTAACAAAATCATAGATTCATTATATCATCAAATTCATAACAATTGAAAACGCGTTTTACCAGTCATTTCAAAAGTTTGAATGCAGAGGCGTAGCCAGGATTTTTGGTCAGGGTGGGGTCAGGGTTCACTTATTTTTATAGAATGATTTTTTTCTCAGGGGAGGGAGAATTGTAGTAGAATTTGGTAGTAGAATTTGGTTTTGGATACCAAACTGTGAATGACTTGTATCCCGACTGGATATTACAAAATTTCAAATGTTTACAGTTAGGATAATGCTAAATGTCTCCTAACCTTTGATTTCCAACTTGGTGATCTAGTTATTGACTGTTGGGTCTTCTGACTCCTGTTATTATTCTAATTTATAACAATGAGGGACATTTACTGCATACTTACTTTGATGTAATGCCAACATTTATAGCAACCAGTATCCAGAACTTTCAATCCTGGTATCCTAGTGCGGTACTGAAAAAGGTTTTAAATTTTATATGCTGTTGTACAGAGTACAGCACATAGCTCTTAATTGGGGCCCAGTGTTTACCTTTATTACATTTGTGCTAAGTGGATATGAGAGTTATTATTACTTACCTAATTGAAATTATCACCTATCAGGTTGGCCCCCAAGTCAACAGGAAATCATTCCAAACTCCACTCTATTTAATTAAAACAATCAGCTTAATAGTTGATACCTTTTTGTAACATTATTTGAATTATGAACAATAGTTATAGAATTGCACCCGAGGATATTTTTCATTTCAATTTTGTTTTGGCTATTAGTCTGGTGGAAGCGAAAACGTTTTGTTTCTTATATCATCATGTTTGTTGTTTTAAATTAAGATCATTTGTATAAATTGGAATTTGGAATCCGTCCAGCCCTTAATTTTATAGTGAAACATTTCCTGAAACATCAGCATTAGGTGATTATCCATTTTGCTAAGGATGCACTTCCTAATACACCTAAGCATTAGGTTTTAGATTTTTCTGCACAGGTTGAGTTGAGGAATAGTTTTTGCAATGCATTTCCTGTAATTGTTATTGGTATTTGCTCCTTTATTTGGTCTTGCAAAACTCATTAAATTAATTAATAAAAATGTCAATGTTTAGTGAGTTTTTGTATCACATAATATACAAAATTCTCCTGATTTGCATTACGTAACATAAATTCATAAAGTTAACATCACTCCTCTTGCATAGTTAACAAATTGGTTAACATATTGTTATACTGTGATATAATTATTGTCACTTTTGGAATTCCCATTGCTGTGTTAATAAATACCTGTCCAATAATAAGCCCATGGGCTTACATGTCCATGTTTATATATTTTTTTTGGGGGGGGGGAGCCCTAGTGCACCGGAACCAGTTTTTTAAGTTCCGGCCGGAACCGGATCTGACCAGAACTGGAAAAAAGTTCCGGCCGGAAGTTCCGGCTGGAACCGGAACTAATTTATTAAGCCATATATAGTCATATGTTACTTTGTCTGCTGCCAGACAGGCAGACACTTCAAGTCATCAAGGAGAGAGCTCGCAAATGTTAGAATACAAAGATAGACAAGCGTTAAATGTCATAATGAAGTGTTAATAGTGTACATTTCCCTTGCGTAGTCCAGATTTCTTCCTACTGTGACCTTTTGTTAGACACAAAAACGTTTGATATTCTATCTCTCTGAAAACGACAGAGTTCCGGTTCCGGCCATGCTTTTTTTTACTAGTTCTGGCCAGAACCGGGACTCTAAAAAATTGGGGTTCCGGCCAGAACTAACTGGCCAGAACCGAGTTCCGGTGCACCCCTAGAGCTTACAGTATATTTGGAGGGTTACGGTACTAAATATTTGTATCCAGAGTGGAAATATTTGTGCCGAAAAAAGTAATGTTTTCGTGCCAGGACATTCGGGAATGCGACTACATTACTGACATTGTGAAATCGACAATTACAGTACTGTGACATCAACAATTACAGTATTTTGACATCTAATTTGTCTGTGGGAAATAGTGCTGAAATTAGCCAATGTAGCTGCGTTCCTGAATGTTTTGGCAGGAAAACACAACACTTTTTTCGTGCCAGAGAAAGCATCCACGGTTTTGGTAATATGGCCAGAAAACCAGAAAACTGGGATTCAAGTAACTGAAAAATACAAGTAAAATCCTTGGTCTGGCCACTTGCTAAAAAAAAAACCTCTGCTGAAAATACTAAATTATTGTGAATTCATTTCAGGCTGATATCAATGCATTGAAGTGGTGTCAATATACAGGTGCTCCGTGTTCGTTGGACAGGCCTTTAGACGACCCTGTCCTCACCTCATTTGCCAATGCTCTCGAGAACAATGTGTTGTGTTCTTGGAGGCATTCACCACCACATACAACACCAAGGTTGAACCAGGGCTTGACGTGCTCTGAACGTGCGAAAGAACTTTGGTTGTTTTGGTATGGAGATGACCCTAGAACCATTGACATTGTTGATAGTAACTTGAAAGGTTGGTTTTTGATTATTTCTAGTGACTGACAGATAATCTGTATTGGGCCGATTTTTGTCTTATCGGTAGACAATCAGAACCAGTACAATTATCTATATCTAAAACCGATTGTTGAGAAAATATGCACTTTAAAAATTATATGCATTGCATGTTGATACACGTTGCGTTTTAACACAACTTGTTAAATTAATGCATGAAGCGTGCAGCAGTTTATTAATGGCAGGGCGCGAAATAACGGCTGCAGGGTCACCGGTCAAGGTGACTGGCAAACTCAATTTTAGCTTGGACATACCGAATTTCTGGCCGGTCAAATAATTCAGCTTAAAGCAAAGCCTAGTAAAGTATACCCCTAAAAATGTGACTATTTTCCCTAAAAATGTGACTATTTTCCCATTTTTTTTAGCATTACAAAAAGTCTTATACTGTAATCAGTAATTAAAAACTCCTTCACATAAAGGCCCATAAAACAGCTTGCACTGCGCTAAAAGCATGACCTTTAACTCTTAAGCCAAAAGCATGGCCATGAGCTTTTTGACATGGGAAAGCTGCCGTACATTGAAGTTCTTTCCCCGCAAAATATTCGACAACATCTTATGGTTCTTAAAATACTTGACAACTTTGTTTTGATTATTAATTCAAATGAAGATTAGTTTGTTCTTTTCGCGAAAGTGACTGGTCAAAATGACCAGCAAGGTAAGAATTTGGCCAGACAACTCCGCATTCTGACCGGACATTGTCCGTTGACCGGCCGTTATTTCGCACCCTGAATGGTTTTAACAATCTTTGGTTGCAGTAACTTTTATTACGTTGGAAATTATCATTAAAAAATTGACAAGAATGAAGTCACCTTCACTCGGTCGACTGATATTATCGTTAATCAATAATCGGGTAGATTGTGGCATGAATAATCGGTAATCAGTAATTTCTGATTGTTGCATAAAACTCTGCACTTGATGAGTAAAACGTCTGGTGTAAATACAGACTAAAATAATAAAGTGGAGCATGTTTGGGCGCATTAATTTGCAGCTTACTGGGTTAACAAGACACATTGGCAGATTGTTTGGTTAATTTCATTAATTAAGCTAATGTATTCAATTTATCATTGTCTCACTCTATTATATTCCATTTTTAGAAACTGATCACGGTTCTTGGGAGAGTAACTTTCCAAATGAAGCAAAGGTTCTTTTGTTCAAAGCGCTTCACAACACGTTAGAAAGGTAAGGACAAGCTGACAATTTCCACTGCCTTGTTATCAGGCCAAAAAAACATTGTGTTTGTTACCATGTTTCCCGACTGACCCTGTCTCATGACACCTAACCTAACGTTTTTATAACATTTTTTGCTGGAAAAATGAGAATTAAGTCATTTCCAGATGCTATTTATTGAAATTTGTGTGCGTGTTATTCTACACAAGACAGACAAATGAGATGGTCGTTTTGCACCAAATGTTATATTCTACTAAACAAAATATTCAGGGTATAGCTATTAATTATTTTCTGTGTTGGTGACTAATTAATAACAACTATTAATTAGATCTGCCCATGCATCCTGTTAACCCTTTAAGTGGCAATGGGCCCTGATGCACCCTACTTTATTATTTTACTCTGTCTAATACCAGATGATTTTACTTGTCAAGGGGAGAGTGTTTTTGTTCCACAATAGCCAATTTCCGACTGTCATACTTGTACTCCACACTGATTCTACTGTATGAGACGAAAATACAAGAACAATCACCATATAGTCATTGTACTGTATACATTGCACCTTGTACATGTACTTACGAGAATGGTGATGGTTCTAAAGCTTTCAAATAAAATTTGTTTTTATTTATTTTTACAGACACTTGTTATCGAGAGAATATGTGCGTGTTGGCAAGTGGTTTGTTAATTTAGACAAGAAATCGGCCTGTACGGAAACGTAAGTGTGTTTGAGAAACTATGGACCTTTGAATTAAATTAAGAACACAAGGTTAAAACTGGGAAATTTGTTATTTTGATTTGCTATTCTACTTTATTGCAAACAAATCACCAAATGATTAAGAGTGATAAAAACTATATTTTCTAGGAATTGAAGGAATTTTTTAGGATTTTATAAAAGCTATATACACATGCGAAGCAATATCACGATAGTCAACAAGCATACAATAATCGCGATACAATAATCGCGTTTGAAAATATCGCGATAAATCAAAATATCGTTAAGTTTGTTTGTTGCTTGAAAAATGTATAAAATATTTAAAAAATTGAATATAGTCATAACTAAGTGGAAAAGTATATTCATTAGTTCTGAACGTGTGTTACATACATGTACTGTAGCCTACAAAATATTCTCCTCTTTAACATATGTTCTCTAATCTTGTTCAGGGACAAGCTGTTCTTCTCATTTGCATTCTGCCTTCAAGGAGAGAGTAAAATCTGTATGACTGTGGATGTAAAGCAACTACCTGGCGTCCGACATATTGTCCCGGATGATTTAGCCAAGGCTGCAGCCCAGGGTGATTTCAAAGGTAAGTTAAAAAATAAATCAGTGTCGCAAAACAGCTGCGGGTATATGCGGGTACTAGTCTACCACCTGTGACAAATGTTACCATATGTGAGGCCAGTGAGGAAGGTCTAATGTGGAACACCATACTCAACACTTTCACCATAAAACAAATAAATGATGCTTGATTGGACAGGTTTAAGTTGGCGGGATGCTGATGTTGTGCTGGTAGTAATCAATGTAGTGATCAGTAAACTTGATGTTTTTAACAATAAAAATATGCCTGACCACGGTAGAATAGAACCTACGACCTTTGGAATACTAGCCGAATGCTCTTCCAACTGAGCTACACGGTCAGGTCAGTTCGAGTATGTGATATTTCGGTTCGCTTTCCACCGTGGTCAGGTCAGTTCGAGTATGTGATATTTCGGTTCGATTCCCACCGTGGTCAGGCATATTTTTCAAGCTTGCCCAGTGTGGATATACACTCAGAGTAACATCACAAGCATCATATTCACCTGAGTACATTACACCAACACAGAAAAAATAAAAATATTTTAAAATATTAAAAACATTAAGTTTGCTGATCTTAATTATGCTTAATAATTGATTTTCCTGGTTAGTTTTTTCAATTAAAAAGGCTGAAATGTGCCTTAAAAACCATCATTCAAAAGGCTGAACTGTACTCAATTATATACTTTGACTTTGTCAGTATTAATTTTGAGCTATTTTAGTATATGTATAGTAGTATTATTAGATATGCTGTTGAATAACAAGGTGGGATTTTGGCGGAAATAGTGAGGTGCAGCAGTCTAGCTCACGATCCCCATGGAAAGTTAGTGCTTAGAACGGTCCGGAGTCAACGACGTGACGTATGCATGTAGTGTACATATGTATCAGTGTATTAATGAATTATGACTGTACAACTCATCCAATTTTGCCGTTCATTACAATTACTACAAAGTTTCTTTCAAAGCATTGCATTCAAAGGGTACTTGACACACAGATGAATGGCTGTCACTGTTTCAATTTTACAGAAAAAAAGTTCATATGAAGTGTTGACCCTAAGCAACCAAAAAATGTAAAAATTTTCACTTTGATCTATCATTAAACCTTTCCCATGTTCGATTTAATATTTAATATAGAACAGCTATCACAATGAAATAAATTTTATCGTATCCAGAGAGGGCCAACTTAAATTTTGGTATATTACAACAAGATTTTTATTGAATATTAACTTAAATATCAATGTTTTAAATCAAACGAGCATTTTTAACAGTGCAAAATATTTGCATAAAATGATCTATTTAAAAACTAATTTCAGTACAGCTGCCATTCGTTCGTGATTATTGGGTATTTCATCATTTAGCCAACTTAAATTTCAAGCTATTTCCTATTACAATTTTGTTTATATTTCTTAACTTTGAGAATTGAAGCACAAAAACAAATGACAATCACCGGCCTCATAAAGATTGAGTCACGATCTTTCTCATCAGCCGAAATACAACATTTTACAACTGAAAATGCGCGGAGTGATTATAGCTAGATAAATATAATACTCATGATTTATATTCTTAGCATTGTCAAAAACGCTTGTTGGATTTAAAACATTGTTGGTGTAGTGCATTTTTTCTGTGTTGGTGTAGTGCACTCAGGTGAATATGATATTTGTGGTTGGTGTTACTCTGAGTGTATATCCACACCGGGCGAGCTTGAAAAATATGCCCGGCCACGGTGGGATTCGAACCTACGACCTTTGGAATACTAGCCCAATGCTCTTCCAACTGAGCTACGCGGACAGGACGGTTCGAGTAAGTGATATTTCGGAACAGTATCTAGTTCCTTCAATACCAATGTGTTC